ATTTCTGGTTTTCTTTAGTCACCCTGTGGTTTGAGGGCAAAGAAGGGTGGGGAGAATAAATCTCATAGTAAAGCAGAAAGATTGATGAAAACATTGTGTTTCAGTTCAATGAGGAAATAAATAAAGGGATTGGAGACTGGGATATTTAGCTTATGATTAAAGGGAAATTATAAGAGAAGCAGAGGCTAAATAATACTCCTAGCCCTATAGCTCTAGCAAAGGAATCAACTCCAAAGAATGCTGTTTCTTAATGCAGTGTAACCAGATTCTAACTCCTATAAGTGATTTTGATGAAAACAAGAAATCATCATTATCATAAATCAGTATTATTCATTGAGCAATACTGTATCATTTTGGTTATAAAGCTTATAGGGTTATACAATTAAGGAAAGAAGAAGGAAGTCGCTATGGGATTCCAACAAGAGGTCTCCCTTCTTGGCCAATTGGAAGCAATATCCCAACCTTAGGCCTCTTGATTTCCAGGGGCAATAACTTTGGTTACTTCACTGTGGTACACTATGAATATGCAACTTGGTATGAGTTTGAAAATACCATTAAGGATTAAACTTGAGGACTTAATTGTGATAATTCTTTGGAATTTTTTTGAAATTTAAAACCACCTTGCCTTACTCTTTGTTTCACATAGGCTTTGCTGCATAATGAATTTTTGGGACAATACTTCTGTTCAGCACTCAGTACAACACCTGGCCGTATATGTTCCAACTATGTAATGTAAGTTGTATACAATGTTATCAGGGGTTTCCTTATCACTGAGATGAGGTATAGGGGGTCCTATGATGTTAGAGGTGGTACAAGTCTTTTTAGGGACAACAAACCTTTCTAAGCCTACATTTTCTCACTCATAAAGTGAGTCATTATGTACTGATGCATGTGAGTATGTAGTACTTATATTCTGCTATAATCAAATTGTTTTCAATGTGGAGAAATGTTCATTGGGGCCTTTTGAAAGATTAATGTTTGAGTTTTTGAGTGATTTTGAGTTTTCACTTTTCAGAACATTTGAATTTAAAACAGGCTGCTTTAATAGTTTAGCAAAGCTTATAGTCTTGATATAT